TCCCAACAGGACAGAACCCACAGCGCCATGCAATAATGGCTTCAGGATATTATTAGAAAAATAACTATCAGCCTAGACCTCCGAGCCCAGGGAAGACAGGGATCAGGAATGAAGGAGAAATAAAGGCATCTTCAAACCAAGGAAACCTGAGTTTGCCACCATTGGACCCCAGGAAAGCAGATTCTGCAGGAAGCTGCCTTTGGCCGAAGAAACTTCCTGGTGGAAGTCCTGGATGCAAGAAGTACTCAAGGCCAAGGAAATAATGGTGTTGCAAAGGGGATCGAAGTGTTCTAAGGTCCAATGCATGGTCCTGCGATAGAGCGTGCCCACTCTGCCGGGTAACCACTGCCAGAACAGAAACAAAAGGCAAGGCTTCCAAACTTGTGATGGGAACCGTGCAAACAGTCAGTTATCAAGAGAAGACAAGAGTGGAGATTGAGAAAACAGACCAGAGAGGGTAGACTTATTTTGACTGATATATCAGTGATCACCGTGAGGGCAAATGGACCGATGAACTGTCCCACTTCAGTAAGGCTGCCAGAGTGCATTCCTAAAACTCTAAGTATATGAATCTTCAATACAAAGGTTCAGAAAATTAAGGATGTTGAAAGAACGAAAATACACCTTGTGAGCCCTGGGCAGAAAGAAGGCAGAAAAGCCATATTCATATTAGTCAAAATAGCATTTATGGCAAAAAGCCTAACTGAAAAACACAGAGGGCCATTTTATAAAAGTTTCAATTCCCCAGAAAAATAATGATTTTGCATTTTTATGTATTAAGATAATGTCAAAAAATTATATAAAGTAGAAGTTATAATTAAATAGATAAGAAAATCTACGATCCATAGATTAGTTTCTTTTACGTCTTTTTCTGAAATTGATAGAACAAATATGTATACTATTTTATTAGTAAAGACAAAGTATTTGTACAGGTCTATCAAGGAGAAAAAGGCCTTGTTCTAATCGACCTGTGTTTTTGTCAACTTTTCACTACTGAGACCAGAAGACCTGTCAAGAACAGATTTAAAAGGAGACATTTATTTGGGGGCTCCTGGTTCCAGAGGTCTCAGTCCACAGATGGCCGACTCCATTCCTCGGGGCTAGAGGTGAGACAAAGCATCAAAGTGGAAGGGTGTGGTGGACGGAAGGGGCTCCAGACACCACACCAGGAATCAGAGAGTGACTGAGCTCAGCTCACAAAATATAAACCCCAAAGCCACATCCCAGTGACCCACCTCCTCCACCCACTCCCCACCTGCCTACAGTTACCACCCAGTTAATCTTTATAAGGGGATTAATTCACTGATTGGGTTAAGGTTTTCATAACCCAATCATTTCTCCCCTAAACTTCTTGGATTGTCTCACACATGAGCTTTTGGGGGACACCTCATCTCTAAGCCATAATAATATGTACAGGGCGTGGAAGAAAACACATTATTTGAAAGTATATTAGGATCATATATAAAAATTATTGATACACAAAGTAAGTCCCAATGGATTTGAATGAAGTCAGATCAGAGTATATTATCTGACCACAATGCAGTTAAGCTCAAAATCAACAACAAATAGAAAATCCCTGCATGCATACAATAAAAGAAAGAAAAGAAAAAGAAAATCCCCAAGTACTTGGAAATGTAGATATAATTTTCTAAATAATCCCTACATAGGTCTAAGAAGGCATCATAATGAAAATTAGAAAACATTGTCAACTAAACAGTAATGAAAATACTACATTTCATAACATGTGCATGAAACAGATTTAGAAGAAAGTGCTGCCTTAAATGTATGTTTTGTAAAAATAGAGAAAATGTCAAATTAATGTTTATTCATCTGAAGAAGTTTTTTGGAAATAGCAAAATCAACCCAAAGAAAGTTTGCAGAAATAGTAGAGAATAGAAACCAATACAATATAAAATAAATATTCCACAGACAGAATTGACAAGCCAAACTTTGTTGCGGGGACCGGTACTGGGGTTGAAATCAGGGGCACTTGTCCACTGAGCCACACCCCCAGCCCTATTTTGTATTTTATTTAGAGACAGGGTCTCACTGAGTTGCTTAGCACCTTACTTTTGCTGAGGCTGGCTTTGAATTCACGATCCTCATGCCTCAGCCTCCCAAGCCACCAGGATTTCATGCGCCATGGCACCCTGCAAAGCCAAATGTTTTATAAGCAAATAAAATCAACAAACCTCTGGTGCAATTGGTCAAAGAACAAAGAGAAGGCACAGATAATTAACATGAGGCGTGACGAAGCTACAGCACTCTAGAGGAACAGGCAAGGGTGTTAGTAGATATGAAAATTTGGGGGAAAATTGATAAATTCCTAGAAACGTGGCTTAAAGCAGATTCAAGAAGTAGAAACCTGGACTAGTCAAACAGCCATTGAAAAAACTGACCTAGAAAGCTGGCAGAAGAGATAACACATAGAGGGCTGACCATTGTCCTTGCAGTTGTACTCGGGGTCTCCGTAGCCACACTCTTATCCACACCATTCATGCTGTAAGCGGCATCTCTGACCGTCAGCATAGTAGGGCTGTACATTTGTTCAGGCTTTGGGGACATGTACCAATTTGTTGACGAGGTAAAGGCCAAGAGGTGTCCTGACCAAAGGCAGGAAAGTCTAATCTTTCAAAATGCTGAACCTTCATGAAGAACCATCTGCTGACAACACACATTTGCTGCAGAACTTTCTTTCCTTAGGGAGGGGCTTGTTCCATCCCTGCTAGAGTAATCCTAAGGGATTCTCCACCTGGAGACCAGACCTGCAAGCTTCCCAGAGGGGCATTATTACTAACACTACAGAAATATTCTTGTTTTAAAAGGAATTCAGCTTACAAGATTATTTACCAAACGTTTTCAGCTGAATCACTTTAACCAGTGTCCACGACCTATGAGACAGCATCTTGGTGACCTCTGATGTCACCTCCTTCTGTTGGAAGGAGAGGAATGAACTCCGCTGAGCTACTGCGGTGACATCATAGGGTCCTGGGTATGAGAGAATATGTGGGTGACAAGGAAGGTGACCCCAGAGAAGCGAATCATAAAATGTGAAAAAGTATCGCAGATTCTAACAATTAAGGAGATGTGGCCCAATTTGACTCCGCCCTGTCACAGCGTCTTCCAGCATAAGAATGGCCGCCATTGGGTCATTTTTTTTCATCAAGAGTTATTAGCTCATCATGGCGCTCATTATTCCAGAGAGCCTTAGTTTATGTCCAGGATAGATGAAGCATCTGAATGTTTTTTAATAACTTGAGTAAAGGAAACATGGAATACAGACCCAATGAAATATTACTCGGCCACTAAATAGAATCATATCTTATCATTTGCAGCAAAATGGATAATATAGAGACAATCAAGTAAAATAAGTAGATGCAGAAAGATGGGTACTGTATGTTCTCTCTCATATGTGAAAGCTCAAGCTAAAAAAAAAAATCATTCAAAATGAGTAATAGTAATGACTCCAGCCTTGGGAGGTGGCAGGGAGGAGGGCTGGAGGGAGGCTGGATTACGGCTAATCCAAACACAGACGGAAGAAGTAAATTCTAGGGTTCCACAGCATAGCAATGGGGAGCGGTTATAGTTCACAACGATCTATTATATACTTTATTAATGTCTAGAGGAGACACACTTGAAACTCCAAACACAAAATAAGGATAAAGATATGGCAATATTAATTATTCTGATTTTACCAGTATATATTGTATACAATACTACATTGTACCCCCAAAATATGTATGATGATTAAATGACAATTGAAGATGTTTAAAAGTGTTTATGGAACCTCTGAAAACTTGGAATGGGACCACCATTTGACCCAGCTATCCCACTCCTTGGTCTATACCCAAAGGACTTGAAATCAGCATGCTATGGTAATGTAGCCACATCAACGTTTATAGCAGCTCAATTCCCAATAGCTAAACTATGGAAACAACTTAGATGCCCTTCAACAGATGAATGGATAAAGAAAATGTGTACATATTCACAATGGAATATCACTCAGTCATAAAGAAAAATGAAAGGAGGGTATTTGCCAGTAAATGGATGGAGCTAGAGACTATCATATTAAGTGAAATAAGCCAATCCCCCAAACAAAGGCTGGAATGTTCTCTCTGATGTGTGGATGCTAACACATAATGAAGGGGTAAGGGAGGCTAGGGAAGAATAGAGGTACTTTGGATTAGGCAGAAGAGAGTGAAGGGAAGGCTAATAGAAGGAATCGGGCATTATGACCCTATGTGCATATATGATTCTACATAGTGTACAACTAGAAGAGTGAGAAGTTATACTCCATTTATGTATGAGGTGTCAAGATGCATTCTACTGTCATGTATAACTAATTAGAACAAATTAAAAAAATAAAATATAGGCATCCCCAAAAAATGTTTATGCCTTATTTGATCATTACACACTATACACATGTATTAAATAGCCACACTGCACCCCATAAATTTGCACGATTACAATAATTTTTTAAAAATACCTTGGGTCGGGGCTGGGATTGTGGCTCAGCGGTCGAGTGCTCGCCTAGCATGCTCGGAGCCCTGGGTTTGATCTCAGCACCGCATAAAAACAGATGAATGAAATAAAGGTATTGGGTCCAACTACAACTAAAAAAATGAATAAATAAATATTTAAAAAATACCTTGGGTCATCACACAGCCTTCACCTGATCAGAACTTTCGTCGTCGTCGTTGTTTATGAATGTTTTAGACGTTAAACCTTGATTTCGTGTGAGAGGGAAGCTCCTGGGGGTTAAAGATTCCATGATTGTGCTCCACGGCATTCTTGCCTCATTTACTTAAATTTTCTGAATAAACAAATTGATTTTGTTTCCAGGTGTGCAAGGCTGTTACGCCAAGCAAAGGAAGGACTTCCGGAAGCAGGAGGCCGGTGTCAGGCCTGAACCCGGGCTTTCTCTGCTTCACGGGCACCTCGCACACCTGCGCACAAACACACACTCCTGCTGATTATTACTTTTGCTTACCTCTGTATAGGAAAGAAGAAATCTAAATTCAAAACTTTCAAGAAGTTCTTTGGGAAGAAGAAGAGAAAGGAATCGCCTTCGTCCACGGGGAACAGCACCTGGAAGCAGAACCCGGCCAAGAGCGAGGTCATTGCCATTGAGTCAGGGCCAGTGGGCTATGACTCAGAGGATGAACTTGAGTAAGTTGCTGTCGAGGCCCACGGGGCCATGCGCTCCGGCTACAGCGGGGACATCTGGGCTCGGCAGAACAGATCCTCTGTCAGAGTCTCAGTACCGTGCTGGGCTCCCGGCCTCCTCCCCTCCTGGACAGCCCAGGAGCAGTTCGTCCACACAAGTTATGTCCTTTGTCTTTCTAAACATGGGATGGAGAAAATGTGTGTAGGGGTGGGGCATGGATAGGAAGCTGCTGTGTGCCAGGTGTATTAAATGTCCATGGTCTACGGGTTCAGTGGCGCATACCTGTAATCCCAGGAGGCTGAGGCAGGAGGATCGAGAGTTCAGAGCCAGCCTCAGCAATGGCGAGGTGCTAAGCAACTCAGTGAGACCCTGTTTGTAAATAAAATACAAAAAAGGGCTGGGGATGTGGCTCAGTGGTTGAGTGCCCCTGAGTTCAATACCCGGTACCACAAAAAAAAAAAAAAAAAAGTCCCTGACCCTCATGGGAGAAGAGGTACCATATGCCATCAAATAAATGAGCCAAATAAGCTGGAGAGAAATTTGGAGGCTACCTGACATCCCGAAGCTGAAAGCCAAAGGATCAGGATGTGGACCTTGGTGTAATGTGACTTAAACCCTTTGAGGACCTTGAGGACCATACGAGAAACACGTGGCTCTCTAAACTTGAACTCCAAGCAATCTAATAAGTATGCTTTCTCCGGTCCGAGTCCAGGATGGAGAGAGGAAATCTTCTTGTTCAGTTTTAGGAAAATCATCTAAAAATAAAATATAAGCATCCAAAAAAATATAAGCATCCAAAAAAAATGTTTAAGGAGATGGAAATGTTAATGCCTTATTTGATCATTGCACACTGTACACATGTATTGAATAGCCACACTGCACCCCATGCATTTGCACAATTACAATAATTTTTTAAAAATACCTTGGGTCGGGGCTGGGACCCAGTGTGGGTGAAAAATTGGGGGAGGTCTAGTGAAGAAATGCTGGTTTTTGTAACTTGTAGTCCCTCAAAATACAGTTACTAGGCACATCTTCCCGTCCCTCCAGCCGTTATTTCTGTGACTAGAAAGAAACAGGTTGGTTGTTCTGCCCGCTTTTATGTTTTCTTTAAAACATTGGCCTCTGATTTGAGGATGAAATTCCTCAGAGAGCATGAACCCACTGGGGGTTTGGGTGGGGGCGGGGGATGTAGCAACGGAGACGGGGTCCTGGGCCTGAGCCTGCCCATGAGGGCTCCTGTCCCTTCCTAGCTCCAGCCTCTCCCTGTGTGGTTTTATTTATTTATTTTTAAGGTGTAGAAATTAAATTGACCACTTGGTGGCACCAAATGACTGTAGAGGAAAATTTAGATTCTGCTACTTTAATTTTTTTCCAGTGCTGGCAGGGAGCAGGGCGGGCCATGGGTGGTGCCTTGTGCCACGTGAGGAACCCACTGCACACAGGCTCTAGGTCCCATGCCCCAGACCCTGAGGGAGCAAGAGTTACCTCACTGGCCAGCCCCAGGGGCACGCTCACCCCCACCGCACCCACCCCATCTCCTGACAGGAGCAAACCCTCTGTCCTGTGGTTGCAAGCACAGACCTGGGGGTGACCCCTCCTGCCACAGACAGGAGCAGAGCCAGAGGGACGAGGTGGGGGGAAATGACCTGTGCACTTATCACGTCCTCCTCTTAGAAGAAGCCCGAGGAAAGTTGGGGTCAGGCCTTTGGTATCTTTCTATCTCCAGCACGTAGCAGGAAGCTGACTTCAGTTGCTTGCAAGAGTTTGCCAGGATCCAGGACAGGATCCCAACTTTCCTTTAGGGGATGGAGTATGACAAGTGACATTTTTCAAGAGTGGTACTGAGGAGGAGACCAGACCCAGATCTTTAGCTTCTGTTCCTTCCTTTCCTGCTTGCCAGTTAGCTGTTACTGCTCCTAGAGTTTTCTAGTGGGTACAGCTAAGAAATTCATTTGGCTTAAAGAATAATCATTAATTCACTGTTATTTTCATTCAAGTCTTATCTCTTTGATTCTTTGTATTCTCTCTTTTTTTTTTCTATTGGAAATCTTAGCATGGTTACTCATTTTCTTCATCCTGGAATAAAGTCACTTTGTGCTCTATGCACAGGTGGCCTTCCACGAACATTGCTCTACTCTGTTTTGTTTTGTTTTTAGCCCACATTACCACTGATAGAACTACTAGGTGCAATTTGAAATGTTTGTCTTTGTTGTTCGTAGAATTCATCCTGCCCTGGATGTGGAAGCAAAAGTCATTTGGAGGACTGGGGCTGGGGCTCAGTGGTAGAGTGCTTGCCTCACACGTGGGAGGCACTGGGTTCGATCCTCAGCACCACATAAAAATCAACCAATAATTAAAAATATATATCTTAAAAAAAAGGTCATTCAGACACAGAGTTAAAGGCACCTGAAATCCTGCCTTTCTTTTTGTAGATCTGTCAACAACCTGCTATAAAAGTTGGCTCATTTGTTTCGGTTTTCTAGTTTTAGGGATTGCTCTATTTCCCTTCCCTGTCTTTTGTTTTATAGGAAACATTTACAGTTTAAAAGACAAAAATTGTAAAGGCAGGTACCTTTGTATCCTGTTTCTCTATTTAGTTTTCCTTTCCCGCAAAGGAAACCATTCTTCCTCACTTGTGACTTGTCCTTCTGTTTTTATTTACTTTTTTAAAAATATTTTTTTGTTGTTGATAGATCTTTATTTTATCTGTTTTTACGTGGTGCTGAGAATCGAACCAGGTGCCTCACACACACCAGGCAAGTGCGCTACCGCTGAGCCAGAGCCCCAGCCCCTGTTTTTATTTTTTGAAAGCAGAGCATGCACCTGTGTTCTCGTATGTTCCTGTGCATGTCCCTGCCCCCTTCTCCCAGAGCTGGTGTGGCTGTGTGCCGCTTACTGTACTTCTGCAGGTTCCTCTGGTGAGCTCGTGCAGGGAGAGGATCTTCCTTTCAGTCAGAGGCAGAGTCCTCCTCCTAGGATGCTCCTGGAGTATTCTGTTCAACACCCGGAGGAGCATGTTGGCTGCTTCCCCATCTCACAGACATTGCCGTGGTGAAAGGCCTTGTTCACGTGGCCTCCTGTGTTTGGCTAGGGTGTCTCTTTGGAGACTTCTTCATTCCACTAGTGACACCCGAGTGCAGGTGTTTGGGCAGCGCTGTGGTTTCCAGACAGTGTGGCCATGGGCTGTGCTGCTGGACAGAGATCCAGGTGTGTGGGTGTGAGAGAGAGAGACCTTCGTGTTAGGAGCTGTGCCATTGGCAGAAAGAGACAGTTTTTTCCACTGTGCTGATTCCTTCCTAGAAACGTGAGGACCCCCACCTTCTGGGAGCCAGGGTGCCTACTTGTAAGCTTGCCCCTGCAGGCCAGAGAGTGTAATTAAAGGGAAGCATTGCTGACCGACACAGCTTGATCTGCAGTAGGGCAGGGCCACACCTCAGAGCCCTAATGCCCCAGAGAGGACAGGATGCCCCGGGGAAGGGCAGGGGGGGAGTCAGTGTGCACAAGACCAGCGAATGTAGAGGCTGCTTTCCTTCCTTCACCGTAGTCTCCATCATCTCCTTCCACCTATTGTTCAGGCTTCTAGGAAAATCTTACAGCTCATTCCCACATCCTGTGGACATTTTATGAATGTCCCATGGGTTCAGTTCCAAATCAGATCCTTGAGCTCCGGGTTGGGAAAAGGGCCTGGCACGGCGATGGCAGGAGGGCCTGCCACTGATGTTTGGGGCGTAAGCACAGAGTGGCAAGGATCATGCCAGGTGATCAGAAGAGGATGCGGCCGTGCAGATGGCAATTCTCACTACAGACAAGCGGGGATGTATGGCGCCTCCAGCCCGCAGGCCCTCAGCCCACTGGGCAACACGGAGGGGCTGCACATTTGCCCCTGAGCCATGCCCTCCTCCTGCCACATAGGTTTCCCCGCCCTTCCTCCCTGCAGGCTTGGCATCTCCAACCTCACACCTCAGGTTTTCCACTAATAAAAAGAATTCGCACAGCCTTCAGATCTCTTAGGAAAATTCCCACCTCTGCGCAGCTCCTAGGAGTAGCCCGAGGTATTTGACGGTTGAGAGGCAAAAACGGGAACCAAGAGCTACAGACGACACACACAGAGGACTTGTAGGATATGCCCGGTGCGGTTAACCCACACCGCCCCTCTTTCACTCTGGGTCCCCAGGAGTCGGTGAAGGGGGAGGTGGCCAGGGTCTCACAGTCACTTTTTTATCCCAGGGAGTCCAGGGGCACACTGGGCAGCCGGGCCCTCTCGCACGACAGTATTTTTATTCCTGAGTCGGGACAAGACCCTGCTCGGCCGGTGCGGGTATTTTCCCAAGAAAATGTGTGCGACCGGATTAAAGCCCTCCAGGTGAGCATTTTCCTTGGCAGTGACCCTTGGTTTGGATTGGAAGTCAAATATTTTTTTTTTTTTACTATTTTGTTTATTTAGTTGTAGTTGGACACAATACCTCTATTTTATTTTTATGTGGTGCTGAGGATCGAACCCAGGGCCTCACATGTGCTAGGCGAGCGCTCTACTTCTGAGTCACAACCCTAGCCCCCGGATGTCAAATATTAATCCAGAAGTTTTAAAGTGATTTCTGCTTCATTTGTTTGCTATGTTCTAAAGTAATAGGCACATCACAAGTCTCCTAAGACTCACCAAGCTGCTTACCCCTTGATCTTGATGCATTCTGGGTTACAGCTTAGATGTACAATGAGAGAGATGACAAGCTGGGTAGCACACACCTGTAATCCCAGTGGCTTGGGAGGCTGAGGCAGGAGGATCCAGGCCAGCCTCAATTACTTAGTGAGGCCCTGAGCAACTTAGCAAGACTCTGTTCTCAAAAAAAAAAAAAAAAAAAAGTAGTTTGAAAAGGGCTGGGAATGTGGCTCAGTGGTTAAGTGCTCCTGGGTTCAATCTCCAGTACCAAAGAAAACCAACCAAGAGAAATGACCACAAGAGCTGGTAGTAGATGCTGTTTCAGCTTAATAACCCCCGCCATGCAAGAGTGTTGATGATATTTCCCAAATGAATTAATTGGAGTAGGGAGATTTGTTGATAAATGTTATTGATGAAAATACTAAGAGCAAATGTTCTTTATTTCAATCTAGTTAAAAATACAATGTCATGTGAAAATGGGGCCTCCACCTCCTCCAGGGGGGCTTCCTACCAAGCGGGCAGAGGATACCGGCATGAGCTCCGAGGATGATGGGCTACCCCGGAGCCCCCCTGAGATGTCCCTGCTGCACGACATGGGTCCCGGCATGACTATAAAGGCGAGTGCAACCTGGGCCCTGACCCTCCATCCACGCCAATCATCCAGGGCAGCTGGAGCTCTGGGGGCTCCGGGGGGCAGCCAGGTCACCTGAGCCTGCAGCTGGCCCTTGGGCTGTGTTTGTTTTCATTCTTTGAGCAGAAATTCAGGTCTGGTTAGGAGATGTGGTTTGGATGACATATTTTTGTGATGGTGTTCGAACCGATACCTCGTCTTTCCTGTCCGTGCAGACAATCAGACCCACAATCTCATTTAAAAGAGGGAGCCGCCTTTCTGTGTGTTCTCTGCTACTGTGACGTTGAGTGGAAAGAAGGGAACAGTGAACATGTACACTGGTCTAAACACCACGTCCTTGTCTTTGGACCACAAGAGCCTGTTGGTCTAGAATGTGCAGACTGTTACTGGTAAACAGGGCAGCAGAGAAAGTTGGACTGCAGGAGAGTTTATGACCCCAGAGGGGCAGAGAGGGGTGGAGGAGCTGATCCTAATACCCTGCTCCCCATAAAATCCAAGAGGAGGGGCCTGAGCAGGTGAGCTCTTTCTCATGCATAAACACCGTAGCTCGTGCTGCTGCTGCTTTCTGAAAATGGTATTTCACTGAAGTAAGAACACTTCATACCCACACAGTGCACTCTGACCCGAGTGATAAAGTAGACGTTTTACCCGTGTGGATAAGGCTTGCTGTGGATGGATGAGTTGGAATTATTCCAGGTGTGTTGATGCTTGAAAAACAGATAAAGGTCAGAGTTCAAGTATTAGGGTCACGCACCCGCCCTGGGATCTTTGGAATGCTCTCGCCCCTGGCTGGCCTAGGAGCTGTTCATGGTGGGGCTGCAGATTCTGTGTTGCTCTCAATTATGTTCAGCAGCTATTTCAGCTTGGATGCCTACAAGTCCACCACAGATCTAATTTTTTTTTTCTTATTTTTTGTTCTTGTGGAGTTGTGGCTTCCATCACTGATGGGAAATCAGGACTGTGATGTGGCCGCTAAGTCAGCCCCCACGTTGGGGCTGTCGTGGAGCTACCTGGAGAATTATTCCCTCCAGATTCCAGCTCCAGGGTGAGCATGTCCCAGCTCACTCCCAGAGTGGGGTTGGGGGTCCGGAGGCTGCCCACACCTCTTCACCCTCAAGAAGGACTAGAGAATGGCCTGTTTCTGGGCTCTGCCAAGCTGACCCTGTATTTCTTCATACCCTAAAACACTTCCAGGTACAGTTTCATTGTCACCCTCTCAGGAGCAGACGTGACTCTGTCTCAGGCCACATGGTAGGAGATGGCTTCTTATTCAGCACTGAGTGACTCTCCCTCCTCCCATCCCACGGATCCCTGACTCTCACACTTCCTACTACTTCTCCTCCTTTAGCGAGGACAGGTAGTAAAGAGGAACAGGTGGTACCTAACCCCATGCATTAGAGAGCCAGCCCAGTTCCAAACCCACTCACACCATGATGTACAATGCCATGGTCAGCCGCGGGGGGGCCACTCGTGCTGGACCAGGGCTGACCTTGTTTTTCACAGCAACCCTTCTATGGTAGTTAATGCACACACACACACACACACACACACACAAAGTTTCTGAGATTTTTAAAAAATCAATTATTGGATAATATGCACAATCCATAGCTTCATGAAAACCAAAATTTGAGCCTTTAGGATACTAAAGAAAGAAAAGGAAAAGAAAAATGTACTCTTTTCCAGTCATCACGGATCCCAGAGAGTGTTTTGTACACAGTTGGCCGATTGAGAGGAAAAAGATGATGCATCCTTTAGAAATGTGCTTATGTAACGGGATATTTAACATAATGGTGCCTTAAATCCCAAGAGGACGGGATTTGGGGCTGTTTAATTTTATCCTGTATGACACCTTCTCTAAGCCCATGTGCTTCACAGAGCCACTTGAGATTATTGTTAAAGAAAAAAAAAAGACTTTGGCAGCAAATATGGACATGGCCACGGAGGTATTTCCTGACAGTGAGTTTTTCGGGAAACATGGAATTATTTTTTAAATTCATTGCAGCGTGCATGAACACAATGAATGAAACCTTACCTGATGGGGTTTTATATGTCTAACTGGTCATGTTCTAGATTTCCTGGTATTAAGGTTTTACCAAGCTTTATCACCTCTTGGAATCCATGTCCTCAGAGGGCCTGGGGAGGGTCGAGTGAGATCAGATAGATGGGTGCTCCCCCTTCCCAGCAGGGCCAGCAGCTTCTCTTCACCCATTGGCCTGGCCCCACCAGCTTTGCTCCCTGATTGATGGCCGTTCATGTGGGCACTGTCCCCAGCCCATTCCTCAAAATGAGCCCCATTTTGAGGACAAACTTTGGAAAACACCTATGACCTAAGGTCACCCCTTAAAAAATCTCCTGAACCTCAATGCATTTCCTTTGTGCCACATTCTGCACGACTTAGACTAAGTCCTCTGCTTCCAGAAGCAAGACTGCAGGGAACGTATAGTGATCAGGAGTAGGCAGTGCAGATGACTCTCTGGATGCTGCCAACTCACCCATGAAGACATAAGCCAGCTTCCCCATCCCAGCCTCCTTCCCAGAGAGACCCCTCCATACCCCACCCCATGAAGTTACACCACAGATCAAAGGCAGAACTCATGATCCTCCTAGTCATGATGGGATTGGTCTTCCCAGTTCCCGAGAACTTTCAAAATGACAGTGGGGACAAAAATGAGAGTTCTGAGGACAGAAGAGTCCCCTAATGGCAACATCAGCTGTGACATTGGCGCAGGGTTTACATGTGGACAGAAGTCAGGGAAGCTAAACTCCATGCCAAGGTCTCCCAGCCAAGAGGTTAAAGTGAGCTGAAGCTAAAAACCAGCAAATACAAGTGCAGACTCACGTAGAGGAGGGACAGGGGCTGTTTACCCTTCGAAATCTTTGGGCTGTTAGATTTGTAGACCAGTAAGCAAAGGCTCATGTTGCACACATCTTAGCAGCATAACCCATGTAGACTGTACTTCGTGAGGGAGTATGCCATGTTTGATGGGCAGGTATCTTAGGATATTGCCCTTGGTCTTCCAGTGAGTGCCAGAATCCCCTTCCTCCCTGGAAACACCTTCTTTCTTTGCTGACCATCAGTTTTTCCCCACTGAGGTACAATCTATTAATATACTTTTAACTTACCAAGTGGTGACTTAAAGCCAGATTGCCCCAGGAGGTTGCAGAGCTCTCCAAGAATGAACAAAAGTCCAGTGATAGGATGCTGGGTAGGGCCTTGCCCTCCTTCCTGGACAACTTCTGTGCCCTGGCCCCTAAAATCCCAGCTCTCAGCTTCCATAGACAAAGGCAGGAGCTTCTACCCTTGGAGATACGGGCTGGACTGGTCCCTCGGGAAGATAGCTGGGGACGTGGGGGAGAGTGGTCCTGCTCAGGAAGCCTGTTCACAGGCTCTTGCATGGCCTTGGGAAGGAGTGGAAGGTTTCCAGGGTTTGGCCCAACACTTGGAACTCCCAGCCGTTTCACTTTCTAAAGGAGTATCCTGAATGCTCCCTGTCAAGAGCCAACCTGAACAAGTTTCCCTCCCAGGTAAAAGCCCGAGAGTGTGGGAGCACAATGAAAGGAGAGCCAGTGTGTCTGTGGGCTGTGCCCAGCCCTGTCGTGTCATGAAGTTAATGTTTGGTGTATTGCTCCTTGTCCCATGAAGGTCTCTTTAGTGTCCTCATCCCGGCCACAGTCTCCAGAGCACACGAACGATGCCACCAACTCCTCCCGGACCTCTGATAGCAGCCTGGCACCTGTGGCTGATTTCAGCTGCCCTCCAGAACTCTCCTCCTGCCTGGACAACTCTGCAGCCAAGCACAAGCTCCTGGTCAAGCCCCGCAACCAGCGGTCCAGCAAAATGAGGCGGCTGTCTTCGGTAGTGGGCTCCTCCTCTGCCCAGGGTCCAGGACGGGTGGGCTGGGCAGTCCTCAGCCCCTACCCTGCCCTCTCCCCCGCTGGGTCACACGCTCCCTCTGAGCACCATCCCTGTCAACGGGACCACACTGCAGGAACTGGAGTTGGTGGTTCATCTTTTTTAACATCAGTCAATGTCCCTCCCTTATATCAAGCCCGTCACAGGTTCACTCACTCATTCCCCAGACCCTGTCACTCACATGCTGTGTGTGGTGCCACAGCATCTTGGTCCTGGGCTTCTCTTCTCCTTGCTTTCCCCCCCCCCCCACACCTGGGTCTTCTTTCTGCTGCTTGAGCTCCTCAAGATGTCCCCAGCCTCAGGTCTTGGTACTGCTGTGTCCCCCTGCCCAAGACGCTCTGTTCCTGGCCAGCTCTGTCTCAGCCTTAGGGGTCTCATCTCGGGATTCCTGTCCCAGAGAGGGTCACCATGTTTCTTTCACTCCTTCAGTGGACTTGCCACACATAGACAGGACCTTTGAAAATGTGTGTGTCCTCTTTGCGACCCTGTCCCCAACTGTACCTCTGGCCCTTAAAGTGGTGCTAGCCACAGGGCTGGCATTTGGTAAGCCTTTGAGAGGATGACCAGTGGGTGACAGGAGCTGAAACCCTGGAGGGGACACCTGAGCAGCATGAGGACGTAGTTGGCAGCATGGGCCTCTTGCCTCACATAGAACAGACTCCTCTGTGGTAATGGTGCTTGGGAGAATCGTCTCCTGGTTCCGGAAGCTCAGCTGACTCATGGGGTACTCTGACCTCCTGGTATCTGTGAGTTAGAGGTCAACAGGGTGCCACTGTCCTCTTTGCCTGGAGGAGGTGACAATCAGGGCAAAGGGCCAGCCTGGACACAAGAGAATGACCGTGCTCAGAGAAACACTCACAGACCAACATCCTCTTCCCTCTCCTTCCCTCAAGAATGATGGCGAGGAGTTGATGAAGTGCCCAGGACAAGCTAGGCGCTTCAGCAGGAGACAGCAGGCTGGGCCCACTCAGGACTTCAGGGATCCCTGGGGAGAGTGGGGTTTCCCTTGGACGTGTGGGAGGCGCTTTGTGAACTCAGGGAAGCAGGATTGACTATGCCAGAAGAGTCAGGTGGGTCACCGCAGACTAACTTGCCAGCTGCGGCCAGAGCGCCAGTGCACATGCTGGGTGTCCAGTACAGTGACAGGGCTGTGCGCCGTGGGGACCTGATGGGTCCAGGAACTTCAGACCTGCCCATGTTCTTTCAGGGTGGAGTCGTGGGGCCAGGCACAGGGCCAGCTCCCTTCTGGGCTCAGTTCTAGACTTCATTCCCACGCAGAGGTCTTCTCCTCTGGTAAGGGCACATTTGGCTGGCCACAGCCCTGCCAAGACTTGGTGACAGAGGGAAGCCTGGCCTACTCTCCATATGGAATGTGCCATCCCCTGGCACTGCCCCCCTAGGCAGAGCTGAACTTTACTTTTGAACTTGACTTTGTTCTTGAATTTCACTTTGTAGAATAACAGAAAGTTGGATGTACTCAGTTGGGGGAAATATGTAACCAGTCTTCCTGGATTTACCCTCTGATATTTTGGTATCTCCCAGCTGCCTTTCCCCTTCACTGCTGGGTAGGGAGCAGGCCTGGCTATCTCAGGTTCTCAGAGGTGCCCATATTTTCCCAGTGGTCACCACTGTCCCTCCATTCACTGTTAGGTTACACATTGGAGGCCTTGTCCATCAGTATCCACAGCCCCCTTTGCCCTTTGGTCCTCTGGTCCCTCTTCCCAACCAGGAGGACCTTCCTCATGCCTTGGCCCCTTGTAGGGATCAAGATGCTTCCAGCTGCTTCCACTGTGGGAATGAGCTGCACATGGCCCCTCTGCTACCTTTCTGTCCCTGGGCACTTCTGTAGAGGGTCACTGTCCCTTTGGCTTTATGGGCAATGAGTCCTACTTTCCCCTGCTGTTTTGATCCCCCATATCATCCAGGGTCTTTTGCTCCATCACCCCTCCCCCACCAGTGAGCTCAGCCATCCTCAGTGTCTCCACTGTGGCCTCTTCCTGTTCCTGCTGCTGGCCTGGCCTTCTCCAGCTGTGTTTCCAGGGGCTGACATCATTTCATATCATGGAGGCTCCTGAATCTTTTGGAGCTTTAGGATAAATGAAAAGGGCTCTTATTTTACAAACCCCATGTATAATAAAAACCCAGCTATAAAGACTGTGATATTTACCATGAATTTGAAATACATATTCAGGCTGACCCCGTTTGCCCCCCGCCCCAGCAGAGGTTGGGAAAGACAAACACGAGTGGTTCCCTCAGCATTCTTTTCTGCCACAGACCATGCTCTGTGTGTGGCTCCACATGCAGAAGAGCTGAGCGCCCATGGATGTTCACACCCACATCTCACTGTTACCAGTGGGTCCTCAGCCAACCCAGTCAGTGCCAAGAGCTGAGAACCTTGTGAACTCCATTTTGATAGGAGCAGTGTGGTTGGATGACTAGCCGCACGTTTCCTGGCTGGCAGAGACACCAAACATAGGACCCAGGTCTTAGAGACTGATGCCTGCTGTCTGCCCCGGGTGCTACAGAGATGACGTGGACACTGCTCTAAGGGGATTCCTTTTTGGCCAGATGAGCTGCTAGCCATAATAGCACTTTGCTGCACACCAAGCAGTTGGTCCCCCATTTCTGCTTGCTTGGGATGTTTCCAGGAGAAAAGCCACTGTAAGGACCCAAGAGGGAGGTGATGAGGAGGTTGCAGAGATGGAGTGGGCGAAACACCCAGGCAGTGCTCCCCTGGGGCTCTCCTCAGCATCCAAGCCTACCTCTGGAGTCCACGCTCCACACCAGTTTTCATCCTGCCCTGTTCCTCCACAGCGGCCCCCCTCGTAGCTGCCAGTGGCTCAGATCTACTCCCCAGCTTTCTGCTAACAGCCTGGCTTCGGTGATAGTTTCAAATCATGGCTCACTTCCCACAGCGATCTCAACAACAGTAGTTTCCTGTAGTATCCAAAGGCCAGGGACATGGCAAAGTTAGGAACTTGCAGCTCTGGATGATCTTCTGTAGGTTTCTTTCTTTCATTGTAGATGGACACAATACTTTTATTTATTTTTATGTTGTGCTGAGGATCAAACCCAGTGACTCACACATGATAGGTAAGCATTCCACCACTGAACCACAACCCCAGCCCATAATCTTCCCTAGGTTTCTTTGTGCATCATCTTTTTAAACCCAGAATAGGATTGTGTGTTTTAGTTATGTATGGTCATAAACAGCCCAATCTTCCTGGGTTTGCTTAGCAAGTGGATGCCAGCTGGGAAATGCTTAAAACTAACACAGGTTGGGGTATAGCTCAGTGGTAGACCACTTGCCTAGCATGAGCAAGGCCCGGGGTTCAGTCCCTAGCACCACAAAAAATAAAATAAAAAATCTAAAAAAAAAACAACAAATAACAATAAAACCACAAACATACCCCAGAGTGTCACATTTCAGGACAAGAGCAATGTTTATGCAACAGCCTGAGTGACACTTGAAGTCTGATGTCCTGAGCTTTTTAGAAAGATCATCCTCAGTACCCTCAACCTTTGAGACATTTTTACATATTGCTTTTGAGTGGTTTGTGATTATCTTAATTACATTCTTTTTTCCTGAGACAGGAGGCATGAACTTTTTGACAATCAGGAGGAAGTTAGACTAGAGTCTAGATTCTAGAGACCTTTTAGAACTAAAAAATGCCACAAGGGAGTGTAAGGTTGTCAAGCCAGTAGTGGTTCAGGCGGCCAAAAAGGAGACTCATAAACTATAGGATTACCTAGAGGAGACAAATTTGCTATAGTTCTTGGGGATGGTGGTCCAGCATCTGGGAGGCACAGAGTGGGGGGGCAGCATTCAGCCCCCACCTTGGGCATAGTGAGGGGACCTTGGTTAAACTTGAGTAGAGAGTAGGAGACACAGTGTAAGACCACAGAAAAGATTTTAAATTCATCTGAAATTTTTGGATTTTGTTTTATGAGCTGTGGTTAACTGTGGCCATGTTGGACATGATAATGAATCATCTTTGAGGAAACCTTTGAGGGTGCATCATAGAAAGAGCAGTAGCTGTCCACCTGGTAGTTACCTGATAGGTTGGACTAGACCAAGATTTTTGACACTCTGAGCTCCTGGTTCTCCAAGTGCAAAAGGGAATGACGGCCCCCTCCTCATTGGGATGAACTGATGACTACGTGAAGTCACAAGTGCATAGCACAGTATGACACACACTGAGTCTCTCTACCTTGCCCTAGACAGTGGCATCTGCTGGTTTTTGGGCTCAGCCATGAGCAGCTAATAGCAACAGTTATTTTGAGGGTGTAATTGCCATTGTTCTGTGGAGGGTCCAGAGAGAATAATAAGGAGAGATTAAGAAAAGACAGCTGTGTATGAATTTCAGCTCTGGAGATATACTGCTTTCACAAAACCATTTTAGGCCTTAAAGAAAACAGTGAAGTCCTGGACTTCCAAATATCTGCTGCAGTGATGGTGTCTTCTCTCCTTTTTCTCCTAGCGGGCCCAGTCTGAATCCCTGTGCGATCTAATAGGCACCCCAGAAGAGGAAGAATATGATGAGAAGCTTTGGCCTCAAGTCAGCACAGAAGAGAACCCCAGCTCTGGACAATATGATCTGATGCTGCATAGAGACCCTGAGCCTCGGGGACTGGTCACCTTGCTGCCACCTGGGGGACCCCGTGCCAGACGTGCCCGCCTACAGCACTGCCCAGCACTCAGTGCTAGCGTTGAGGATGGGCTCTCCCCTGGGGATGATGTCTCAAGCTCCCTAGTGATCCCGGAAGTCATTGAGCCTGTGGCAGTCTCAGCCCCATGCTTGGAGTCCCCATCTCTGCCAGAAAGCTCCCTGCATCCTAGTTCTGACCATGAAATCCAGCGCAGTAAAATCCAGAAGAGGGGCAAAATCCAGGACAGTGAAATCCAGAAGATGGGGAAAATCCAGGACAGTGAAATCCAGAAGGACAGTGAGATCCAGAAGAGTGGTGAAATCCAGAAAGACAGTGAAATCCAGAAGGGGGGCAAAATCCAGAAGGACAGTGAAATCCAGAAGATGGGGGAAGTCCAGAAGGACAGTGAGATCCAGAAGAGGGGTGACATCCAGGAGGACAGTGAAATCCAGAAGAGGGGTGACATCCAGGAGGACAGTGAAATCCAGAAGAGGGATGACATCCAAGAGGACAGTGAAATCCAGAAGAGGAGCGAAATTCAGAAGGACAGTGAAATACAGTTCAGGGACAAAATCCAGGAGGACAGCGAAATCCAGAAAAGGGATGACATCCTGAAAGACAGTGAAATCCAGAAGATGGAAATCCAGGAGGAGAACAAAATCCAGGAGAGTGAAATCCAGAAAAACAGTGAAATCCAGGATATCGAAATCCAGGAAAGTGAAATCCAGAAGGTCAGTGAAGTCCAAAAGGAGCCACCCATCGCAGGCCCGTGTCCCCTAGTCACGGGCACAGCTGAGGAGGAGGTGTGTGCTTCTGGAGAGATGGGAAGTCCACCAGCGCCCTGCGTCTCTGAGAGGAATGTGGCTCCTGCCCAGACTGTCACCACCACCATCACCTTGGAGACACCCTCGGATCCAGAGGGTCCAGGCCAACACATGCAGGAGGAAGAGGGGCCCGCACTGGCAGTGCCAGGACCCAATGGAGCCGCGGGAGAGCCCCCTGCCCTGGCCCCCAGCCCTCCGATGCCCAAGAGCTGCCTGAAGCACAGGGCGGCGAGCGTGGGCCTGGCCGGGTCCCCGGTGCAGGGCGCAGGGCAGTCACCCCCGCGGGAGCGCAGCCCGGGTGCCCCGGACGCAGAGGCCCCGCGCCCAGCCCGCGCCAAGGCTGAGCGGGCGGAGCCCTCCCAGGGGGCCCCCGAGAGGGCAGCGCCGGGGCGGAAAAGCGGGAGAGGTGGCGGGGAGCTGCGCAGCGTGAAGAAGTTCTCGGTGTCCTCGAGCAGGGCGCGGTCACGGCCCAGCGCCGCCAGAGCCCCGGAGCCCGCCGGGGTCCCCGGTCCCCGCCTGCCGCTCCTGAGGAGCAGCGGCCTGGCCTGGAAGAGCGAGGCGGCGCTCGACGACCCCCAGGGGCTCCCTGAGCCCGTCATCGCAAAACCAGACCCTCCGAAGCCAGCAGAGTGCGACCCTCAGGACTCAGGGGACATTGTGGGCGGCCAGGCCCGGCCAAGCAGAAGCCCCCAGAATGCCAAGACCACTCCAAGCGGCGCAGAGGCCGGCCCCGCCGCGCAGGAGCCACCCCCAAGCGAGGACAGAAACCCCTTCCCCGTCAAGCTGCGCTCCACCTCCCTCTCTCTAAAGTACAGAGAGGGCACTTCCCAGGAGGCAAAAGGCGTCAAGAGGCACAGTGCGGAGGTGCGGTTAGAGAGAGGACTGACTCTGCCCTCCAAAGATGAGCAGGGTCACACGGGGGCCACCCCGGCTCTTCGAGGTGCCAGGTCTCCCACTGGCCAAGGAAAGGGGAAGGCCCGGGCACCTGAGCAGCTCGGCTTCAAGCCACCACTACCCAGGAAGCCACTTCTGCAGAGCTTCACCCTCCCGTACTCCTCTGTGACCCCAGAGGCCAGTCCTGGAGAGCCAGAGAAAGTCACCCCACCTGTGGACTCCAGGAAGGAGAGTAGGATGGCGGAGAAGAAATCACAGCACAGGGGAGCAGGTAAGAGCCCCGGAGGGTGTTAGAGAATTAACAGTGGGAAATCCACATTGGTTGGAATTTCTTGGGGGATGGCCACAAAGTGTGTAAATACGGTAGGTACAAACCTTGATGCAAGGAGAACTGGAAAAAAGAATCACAATTGCTCTTAGTACCCCTGATGTTTGTGTTTGATTAAGAATTGGGCGGCAAGAGGTGTAGATCAGTGGTATAGCCCTTGCCTAAATTTTTTTTGCAAGGCCCTGGGTTCCATCCCCAGCATTGAAAACCAAACCAAAAAGAAAAAAATAAAAATAAAAACAGAAAACCTCTGAATAAGAGTTAGGAATAGAGAACGACAGATACCAGGATTTTATGAGAATACAGAGAAGTCATATATGTGGATATAATAAGAGCAATGTAAAATGGATTCTTTCTTGGAGATGGTAGGATCCTCAGTGGTCCATCCTACAAAAGTATCTCCCACTCTGTCTCAGATAACAGGCCCCAAATTCCAAGACATGTGCTCATTTTGATGTAGGTTCTCCCACGGTCTGAGCTACTGCTTGGCTATAAATGGAGCATTTCACTTCTCCGCCAGTGAGAGCCCTGACCTTTTCCCCCCAAAGAAGAATTTCTTCCTGTTTTAGAATCAGGCCCTTGTGGCCTGGCCTCACATAGAAAATATCCTTTTCTTCTTTGTTTGTTTTTGGTACCAGGGATTAAACTTGAGGGCACTCAAACACTGAGCCACATCCCCAGCCCTTTTGTGTTTTATTTAGAGACAGGGTCTCACTGAGTTGCTTAGTGCCTCACTTTTGCTGAGGCTGGCTTTGAACTTGGGATCCTCCTGCCTCAGCCTCATGAGCTGCTGGGATTACAGGCATATGCCACCACACCCAGCCTGGAAAACACTCTTTTTATGATCGCACTCATAAGTCTTTGTGAAACATAACTTCTCTCAGAAGATCAAGGATCAGTATTTATTTTCTGTCGCAAAAGGGAGATCGTGGTAAGTTGAGAGCAACACATAAGAATCTTTAAAAGCAAATATCTTTTAAGATAAGAAAGGACAAAATAAATGACTTTTCTCTCTGTTTGACATTTGTCACATTTTATAATGTTTCTGATAAAATGAGAAATCTGTTGGACACAGATATATGCAATGGAGCTAAATAATCATTCATTGCTGGTTTGTTTTATTAGTGGAAATCCATGTACCAGGAAGCGAAACTACACAATTGGTTCGTATGTGTATGATGGGGACCCTAGAGAGAAGCTTTCCATGGGAAATTCTATTTGACAATGTTTCTGGCTATTTTAAGTGGTACTAGAAGCCCAGGAATCCACTTAAGCACTACTTTAGGGGACAGAGAAGAAACAGAACTCAGTGGCTGTTTTTGGAGAATCCTGCACCCTAAAAGGAAGGTGCATGGCAGGGGGGAACCGTTAGCTCATACAAATTAACACAAATGCAAAAAACACTCTGTTTTCTGTGTCCCGGCTAGGAAGTTAGAGAAGATGTGAAGTCTAAAACACTGAGTTTCTAACTAAGGTGACACCCCCAGATTCAAGGAATTCCAAAGAACCCCCAGGTGTGAACTGGACCCTGAGCCCCATGGTTCAGCCATAATTTTTGTGTGCTGCTGCTCCATTACAGTAATCAGTGAGGAGCTTGGGGGAGACTCAAGTCACGCTGATGGCCCACTCTGCAGATCTCTAACACGTTATTAAAGTGAATGTGGGGTGAGTCAAAAAGCCATCTTAATGGCAGGGGGTGTTGCTCTGTTCGGGTGAAATCAATATCAGCACCATCCACCTCCAGGGCGAGGAACTGAAAATGCCTCTCAAGGGCTTGCCAAATGAATGGAACTTAAAAACAGGACATTCAGGGACACAGAACTGGAAAAGAAGCACCACAGGGCAGCACTTGGCTCCTTAATTAGGTATGACCTCCTCAGCCAAGGCTGCCAGGTCATCAGCACTATATAAAATGCTTGGGATAGTCTCAGTAGTGACACTTTTTGTGTTTTTTCTTTGACTTGTAAAATGCAATTCAGTATTTCTTTAAGGCTTTGCTTAAATAATAGAATTTTCTTGTCCATCTATGTATATTAACATTCTCTAAGCCACAGAAGTAATCAAATGAATTCCAAAGTGAAAGAAACTAGAATACTTTTATGGGCACAGGTAATGATTTTCATTTTAATGCAAAGAGAAGAAGAGAGGAATCACCCACATTCTGTTAGGAAACATCCTCCCTGGAGGCCATATTTGAGACATAAATCTCAGGATGAGCTGTGGATGCTGCTGGTCCCACTCCAGACCTTGGGCTCCAGGGCCTGCCTCCTGCAGACCAGGGCAGAATCTCAGGCTCAGTTTCTGAAGCAGCCCCTACAACTTCCCCAGGCAGGATCTGTTTATGGTTTAATTCATTATTATTACTTCTTCCCTCATCGTCATCGCTCCCAAATTATAGCAGCTGGAGGCAATTTGATTCATACAAAACATATAGATAATAAAAGTTTTAATAACAGTGTTCATCTGTTTTCCAGGAAGACCTAATTATTGCTGTTTATTATCTTGTGATGTCAGGTACTTCACCCACAGCTCCTGGGGCTGCCATCTCCCCAGTGCCCCCTCCAGGGCATGGGCCATAAAGTTAGATTATTGAAGTGTCCCCAGATGGGTACACAGTTCTGCCTTGGGCACTCCAGCAGCTGTGGCTCTAGCACTCCTGTTCATCTTTGTCCTCTTCCTCCTCCTCTTCCTCCTCCTCCTCTTCCTCCTCCTCTCCCTCCTCCTCCTCTTCCTCCTCCTCTCCCTCCTCCTTCTCCTCTCCCTCCTCCTCCCCCTCCTCCTCCTCCCCCTCCTCCTCCTCCCCCTCCTCCTCCTCTCCCTCCTCCTCCTCTTCCTCCTCCTCTTCCTCCTCCTCCTCCTCTTCCTCCTTCTCCTCCTCCTCCTCCTCCTCCTCTTCCTCCTTCTCCTCCTCCTCCTCCTCCTCCTCCTCCTCTTCCTCCTTCTCCTCCTCCTCCTCCTCCTCCTCTTCCTCCTTCTCCTCCTCCTCCTCCTCCTCCTCCTCCTCCTCCTCTTCTTCCTCTTTTCCACATCTTGTGTTCCCTTCTTTGAAGGAATGGAGAAACCCTGTAGGGCAGAAGGGGGGAAGAACACAATGACTGTTTTAATAAACATGAAGCCTGGTTTGCCAAAGGTGCTGATCTGCACAGGGACACCTTGAGTGGTGACTACAAGCCAGGTACTGGGTTTGTGCTCAACAGAGAATACTTGTTTGTAGGCCTGGTTCACAATTTGCTCATCTACATTTTGAGGAAAATGGCTCAGGGTTATCAGCCTTGTTCATTTATGCAGGATATTAAGCATCCTCCTGTTGGACCTATTACAGATCAGGAAGCAGCTTTCTACACACAGGATAAGAACAGAGGAGTTTTAGGCTTGTGTGGAAAACTTGTAACACACACACACACAAAAAAAAAATGTATAGGAAAGAAGAATCACTCTGAAGTCTACTCTTCAGATGTCACCTGTCTGCCTTGCCTTCTTATCTTTTTCTGGGTGTGGAGCATGAGGTTAATTTTGCATATTTTGTAGTCACATGTTGGTGTTTTGGAAGGTGGCTCAACACATTGCCGTTCTCTCCTGGGACCTTATTTGATAACCAGCAGTGACCTCCAAGCTGAGCTCCAGTCCACTGTTGTAATGTACCCCAGTCCTAGACCCTTTTTAAGAGTCTGATCCTCATTCATTCATGAATTCATTATTTCAGCAAATATTTAGTTTACTCCTGCTACACACAAGCAGTGTCACACAAGCAGTGTGCTCTCCCCCAAAGAGAAAAAAACATGAGCATCTTACCTTTAGGAGGCTCCTTCAGGAGGCATCCGCTGGATGCAATAGCGGAGTATAGAGATACCCATCTTGTCTTTGGATGTCAAGGACCTTTCCTAGAAAAAAATGGGCTCAAAGAAACTGTCACCCTTCTCTAAGGACAAAGTTATTTCAGTTATAGTTAAACTCATTTGAGGTTTGAACCCAGGGGTCTTAAACCACTGAACTACATCCCTAGCCCTTTTCAGTTTTTATCTTGAGACATGGTCTCATTAAGTTGCTTAGAGTCTCACTAAGTTGCTGAGGGAGGCCTAGAACTTGCAATCCTCCTGCCTCACCCTCCTAAGTCACTAGGATTACAGGTGTGCACCACCATGCCCCATGTAGTCAAGTTCATTTGGATAGGTGTGTGTGTGTGTGTGTGTGTGTGTGTGTGTGTCTGTGCCTCCTTCTCAAAATGCATCCATGTCTCTTGAATTTTAAAATAAAACATGAAACCTATCCTCTCAAAATTTTAAGTGTACAATACAGTATCATTGACTATAGGTACAATGTTGTATAGCAAACCTCTAGAATTTATTCGTCTCGCATAACTGAAATTTGACATATGTAATTAGTATTAATTTCCCATTTCCTTCACCCCCAGATGCTGGGAACCACTATTCTGTGTTTTGACTCTATGAGTTTGACTATTTTAGATTCTACATATGAGTGTGAGCATGTGGTATGTATCTTTCTGTGGCCTTTTTCGCTTAGTATAGTGCCTCCAGGGTTCATCTATGTTGTTGCATATGGAAGAATTTCCTTCCTCTTTGAGGCTGAATAATAGTCCATTGAATGTACGTACCACTTTTATTTATCCATTTATCCTCTCTTCTAAAGGACAACATTAGGGAGTAAAACTACTGATCCCTAGACATTAAAATGATAGAAAGTGGGTACTATGAGTAATTCTATGCACATAAATTCAGTCAGTGAGAAGAAAAATGGCCAATTCCTTGAAAGACACAAACTATCAAACTTGCAAAGAAGAAATAGATATCCTAAATAGTCCCATATCTGTTAAAGAAATCAAATCTTTATTTAAAAACTTTCCAGAATAGAAAACTGAAGGCCCAGTTTTACTGTTGATTTCTACCAAACATTTGAGGAATAAATAATATGAATTATATAAAATC